TTGCCCTGGCCGGGCCCTGGGAGCCCTGCCGGGCCGGGGAGAGGCCTCAACCCGGCTTCACGCACCGCCTGTCGCCCTCCCGCAGAGTCCAGGCCCCCTTTTGAGTCACCTTCCCATTTATTCCCGCCCTGAGGAGACTGTTGAACCCACAAAATGGCCCCCTCCCCTCACACAAAATGGCCCCTCCCGGGGAAATAAAGGGCCTAGGGGGTTGCCCCAAGGTGTTAGCCAGGCTTGGGATGAGGCCCTGCGCAGAAATAAAAATGAACTGCAGGTTGAAAGCCTTAGGGATTGTGGGGGCTGCACTAGTGTGTTCATTTTCAGACACAAAGTTTTGGAAATGGGGATTTATCCAGGCCGGTCTCAGAGACCCGAGGCATCAAAAGCGCTGAGGGAAACAGCGGGCGCCGTGAGGCGATGCCAGGCAGCTGCTTTTTTCTCTCGATAGTGGGGAAGGAAAAATGACAATTTGGCTTTTTACGTGGTATTTCACACAGATGCTGAGCCCAGGTAGAATTTCTGGGGAAACAACAACTTTGAACACATAACCAGCATGTACACTGTAAACATGAGTTCAAATACATCTTTGAGCTGTGAGTTTCTTTTCATCCCCCTGCGCTTCAAAATTGCCTTTGTGATTGTTTCTCACTCCCAGGGAAGGAGTGCAGTCATTATATTTTTCACTGAATTCCCACAAAACCCCACATGGCCTAGAAGCAGGGTAGTTTTCATCACTGTCCAACCCACCGCCTCACCCCAAACCAGCGAGGCTGTCCACTGAAGGTACACCTCAATCCCCACTGAGTTAACCCCAACATCCAATACATGCCATGGAAATTGCAGGACAGATCCTATGTTTTGAATGTCTGCCTACGCTTGAACCTCAGATCTTAGAAACACAGCCCCGAAGCACCAAAGGAAGAGCTGGGGAAAATATCTTGAGCTTGCAGACAACCTACATCCCGACCAGTGTTTTGTTTGTCTGGTCGTTCTGAAAACATTGTGGTCAGGACTAAAGCTGCAGCGTGTCAATGTTTATGTGCAGGAAGCAAACAGAAAGCTTGGGAGAGACCAGGTCAAGGGAATGAGGCAATTTCTCAGCCAACATAGGATGCGGAAGCTCTGCTGAGTTCCGTGGTGCTACACGCAGGCTAGGAAGTCTCCCTGCTGCTTCTTGGTCTTTAACCTCAAACAGACACCAGTGTGTGAAAACACATCCCCTCCTGATGTCTACAGGAGTTTGGTCACTGATTCCTCTGGGGCCAGATCTTCTTCTAACTCTTTTTAGGAGGACTTTGAAATAAAACAGGCTGCATCTTTGTGAAACCTGCTCTTGAAGTCTTCACCAGGCATCAGTGTACTGGGGGAGCAAGGGGTCCGTGAGCTCAAATTGCATTCTCAAAACTTTATTTTCCATATTTCTGAGTGTAGCTTCAGATGTTCGGGGTCATTTGGCACTAGCCACCACGTGGGGAACTGTGTGGGGTAAAACATTCTTGGTGTGAGTTCTCTGATCTCTTGAACTATAGAGTCTAGTTTCTCATGGTTTATGTGGAAAAAAAGAGGATGAAAGGACAAAGAAAACTTTGCACTGCACTTTGAAAATACAAAACACAATATAAGCATGAAACAGAGCATGAACTTCTCAGGGATAAATGTACCCCGGCTCCACCATGGCTATACCCTGGCTCCACCATGGTGTAGAAATCCTGCTGTAACTGTTAAGAGATGCATCTTCCTTGAAGGCATCTGAAGGACACCTAGACTGCGTAGATGAGACTAAAGATTGCGCCGTGAGAGCACCAATGCCCCCAAACACGAATTTAAGACTCCAAATCTGACTAAGGTGAGCTCTTTTCACAGGCTTCCCATCACCCTGAATGGGAAAGGCCGCTCCGCATTCCCACACGGCCTGCACGGATGTACTCCTACATGTTCCAACAAACATCTTCACCCAGCTGGCAGACAGATGTGCACTCCCAAACATGGCCGAGTCCAGGCATGCACACACACACGCTCCCATGACCAGATGTCCTCACACTCGCATTTCTGTTCTGTCTCAGGTTTTGTTTCTGCTTTGTTTTGAGGAACATAGCATAAGCTCGCCTTTGGCTGTGTTTGCACATTTTGTTCTACTGCTATGAAGTTGCCCTGTGCTGTTATATCTGGCAGCCCATCTCCAGTTCTGACCTATACAAAGAGCACGTGGTTTTACTCTGTTGGGTTTTTTTATAGCCTGGAATATGCTCATTCAACAGGATGGTAAATCCAGCTGTATCAGCAAAGTAAAGAATAACAGGCATGAAAGCGTCAGAAAAGACTCAAAAGCTTTTTCCCACAAGTCTTCTTTGTGCTCTAACACTTGATTTATTTTTCCCTTGTGAATGCTTTCTGAAGCCAGTAGCAAGGAAGGAATTAACGACACAGATTAGGCGGGAGGACATGCTGACAGCACAGTAACTAAATCAACCCAAACCACATTGCAATTGCAGGAAGAGCTGGTGTGTTAAGAGTACACCGACACTGTCTTTAGAGAAAGATGAGAATGGAGATAAGTCCTGTAAACAGAGAGAACCACAGGGGTGCCGAGTGGGGACCTCTTCAACCATTCTGGGATCCACCGCAACAGGATTTTGGTGTGGGCCCTGCAGAGCCAGAGGAGAGCGCTGCAGATGAACACAAAATCATAGCCGCATAACACCCTGGAACACAAAATCACGCATGCGTAATGCCCTGGAACACCAGCATGTTGGAGAAGATCAGCAGACTCCGGGCTCCGAGTGCCACATGTGCCCTGGGACACGCCAGGATGCACAGGAAAAATTATTTTCTTTAACTGCTGTGTGGTGTATAACTCATGCAGGAAGGCTTCACGTAACAAGTCAAAAAACAGGTCCCTCGGTCTCCTCCAGGCTCAGGCTGCAATTTTCCTCCTCCGCACATGTAAAATAGGGAGGAGAAAACCACAAAAAATCTGACCCCCAGGCTCTGGTGACAGCGTTTCAAAGCCATTCATCTCCAAAGGCAAATACAGCTGAGGGTCAAGGAAGGGCACATGCATAGCCAAGGCTCATTTTGGAAAAAATCCCTTGTATCAGAAAGTCTGGGGCTTTATCCTGGCTGCGCTCAGAGTCCAGCAGAGGCCACTCAGGCCCTGCTTATGCATATAGCACCTGAAACTGGATTTGGACCAAGCAGATGGCTGCTGCAAGTCAGCAGTGGTACTTTGCTCCGTTCAGGCTCATTTATAAGCAGAAGCTGATAGTATCTCATGGCCATTCAATTGGCTTCCTGAAT